CTGGGACGTAGGTGGATCTGTCCATCGGGTACAGCGACGTCATTGTATTAATCTGTAAGAATCTGGAGCTCAGAGGAGAGGCCAGGGCCACAGGTGCAGAGGTGGGGCATCAGCCTGAAGATTGTTTTACAGGCTTTTGGCCTGGGAGGAAAAAAAAAAGTGTGGGTCTTGCACTGAATTCTGGAATATTCCCGGAATTTACTATTCAGGAAAGAGGAGGTTTGAGGAGGAAAGAAATGTATGAAATAAATATCTCAGAGGATGGAGAGTGAATGTATCAGAGAAAGGTAGAAGCATTTCTGAGCAGTTGGCTCCCTGTTTGAAATCAGAAATAATTAAAGGAAACAGATCTGCCTATCGGATGGTGTGATCTCCCACCCCATTTGGTTCCCACAGAAAGCCGTGGAGAAAGAGGATGGCCGCGTTCATCTGGAGCGTGGAGTTTTTCCAGGCTAGTACAGTTGGAAAGGAGGAGGGCCGAGGGAGGCACAGGTGCGTGAGAGCGAGATTGTGGTAATGCACCGTGGCGTCAACGCTGAGTGAGAGCGTATGGAGAAAACCTAGACCTGGGTGGGGAGTGGTGAGGAGGCCACTGGTCGGGTTCATGTGACAGTAAAGAATCTGTGCACTGGCAGCCTTGGAGGGCCGAGGCGGGGCCAGGGGCATGGACAGTGACATTGGAAATTTCGCAGGTTGTGCTGCTTTGAATGTGAAGTCCTAGAGCATGAACCTGGTCCTCAGTGAGGTCATCCAGGTCTTTGTTCTCTTGGGTACTAGGACCTCACCTTGCAAGAAAGGTTCAGTCAAGATAGGAGTGACAATGTGTGAGTGGCAGGATTCAGCCAATTTTCTAGTTAGAATCGGTGGCCCAAATCCTCCAATTGCTGCATACACCTGGGATTAATTTGGGATCCTGTGATTCTGAATGGTTTGGGCCATTTTGTTCTATGTATTTATATATATGTAAACAAATATATATGCTTTTTGGTCCCTTAGATTTTTATTCCCTCTTCATGTGCAGTGTTTCTAGACAGTCCACACATCTTGAATACCCATGAAAAATCATGTCTAACATCCATGATGCTAATTAAAAGACAGCCTCTGGTGTTGATCTCAGATAGCTGGAGCACACATTGAGGATGTGAGCTCTGGCTGAAGTCTCTCAGATGGTAACCAGCCACGCCTGGAGGGTAGATTCCCAATTAGGATACTACAGATGTTAACTCCTTACACCTAGCATGTAAATTAAAACTAACACATATATGCTATGCTGTGCTGAGATATTTTAAAAATTGCAAGCAATAGAACAAGGAGACATAGTGATTTGAGCCCTTAAGTAATTTTTAAGTTTCATAACAGCAGTGCATGCTCTTTGTATAAAATGTGGAGAAATATATATTCCTATATATTGAAATTCTCCATATCCTATACCGCAAAAATAATTTCCAATATTTAAGCCTTTTCTCATATACATAGATATGTAGGGATTGGTACTTGTATATAACAAGTTATTGCGTTGGACGGAAGGATACTTGTGATCACATTATACATTTGGCTTGGAATCCTACTTTTGTGGCTTGACAGATCATGATTATTTCTCTGGTTCGTACAGTGTTCTTCATAACTGTGAATTTCATTGGTTAGGACAGATGGGAGAAGACAGGTGGAGTAGATGTTTAGGAGGAGGAAGTGACCGGTTTGGCCAAGGAGTTGGATATTGGAGTTGAGGGAGAGGTTTTTAGGGGTGACACTTAGATACCTTAACAGGTGGGAGGTGTCCCTTTGCCAGGCAGCCCTGGAGGGAGAGCAGGTTAGGGGCTGGTTTTCCCAGTTAATGCATCAACATTTGCACATGTTTGGGATGTAATTTCCAGCCCACCTCCTGTTCCTTCCTTCCTTTCTTCTTGTGTTGATTCCTCTGTTGACTTCCCGGAGTAACTTCTGATATAAATTTAGATTTTTTTTTCTTTAAAATGTGTTTTTAGTGCACAGAGGTGTCATTTAAAAGTCAAATTCACGGAGAAATATTTTTTACCTGCTGGGTTTAATTTCAGATGCCAGTGTTATCATAAAAGACAAACCACGCAGACTCTGTTTTAAAACTTTGCATGAATTGTGCAAGTTGAAATTAACTTCTGCAGATGGAGAGAGGAAAGGAGGAAAATAAGTGTTTTAAAGAGTTGAGTTTTTTTCAATGTTACATAAATATTAATGCCAGTTGAGTTTAATTTCCATCTTCTTACTTTCCCCTAAAGTTGAAATTTGTCTACAGCTTCCTAACTTTTGTCTACTTTTTTCTGAAATGAGAGCAAACGGTTATGATATATTTGACCCTGGGAAGAAATAATCACAAGGTTCAATATGAAGGATTTAGGTTAGATCAGAAGGAAAAATGCCCTCTGGCAAGAATTGTTAGACTCAATTACCAGAGGGAGAACAGAGCCCAAGGTGTTTTTGCCTTTTACTAGTTGTGTGTACCCTTAAGCCAGTTAACTAATCTTTCTGGGCCTTAATTTTCTCACCCATACAATAGGGACTAAAAATAGTTCCTATCTCATAGGTTATTTTCAGACTTACATAAGCAGATATATGTGAGAAAATATAGAAAATGATAGACACATAAGTGCTACTTACTGCTAGTTGTCTTGACTATTATTATAAGTGAAATATAAAAAAAAATATTGTGATTTTTAATGTGGTGGTGCAGTTGTCTCTCCGAATCCATGGATTCTGCATTCTGCATTTGCAGATTTAACTAACCTTGGATCGACAATATTTAGAAAAAAGTATGGACGGTTATGTCTTTAGTGAACATGTATAGACTTTATTTTTCTTGCCATTATTAAGTGATACTGTATAACATCTATCTTCGTAGCGTTTACATTGTACTAGGTATCGTAAGTAATCTAGACAGAATTTAAAGCATAATGCATGGGAAGATGTACTTAGGTTATATGCAAATACTGCACTATTGTATATCAGGGACTTGAGGAGCTCAGGATTTTGGTACCTTTGGGGGTGCTGGGGCCACCCCCATGGTTCTCTAAGGAGGACCGTACTGCCTGAAGGAGAACTGAATAGGTGGGGCCTTCGGGTTTAAAGCACCCATTTGGCATGTCAGTCAGTGCTTATTTGTTGGGGTCTGTTTCCTATCAAGCCCTAAGAGGGGGCGTGTGGGAATGAGCAGAAATAAAAACCTACTTAAGGCTGCTCTTCTGCCCTCCAGGAAGGGATGTCACCCTTGCAGTGTACTTGAATCTTGATCAATCACTTAGTCCAGGGCTCTCTCATTTGATCCTCATTCCATCTCGCCAAGATAGGGGGGGTCCGTTCAATTTATAGATGGGTAAAATGAAGCTTACCCAGAGACAGGGAACTTGTCGAGGTCACAGGTAGTCGAGCGCAGCATCTGGATTTGAACCCAGATTCATCTGACTGCATAGCCGTCTTCCCCCTACGCGTTCTTCTCCTGAGAGACTCACGTGTCGCGGTACGTCTCATGCTCTGTGACTAGCACCGTTTGTGTGTACAGGGTTTGTTTTCTGTGCTTTCGAATGAAAAACTTCCCTAGAGGGGACTTTTCTCAAGTCAACATTCTTTGTTCAAGAGGATTTTGCTTTTTCAGTTTTACTTTCTATTCCACACCCTCCAGCCCTGTGGTCTTTCATCTGTTTCGAAAGAAGGCCATTTAGAAAATCGTGTCAGAGTGGTTGCAGAAGAGAGCCCGGGTTGACAGTTGAGATCGACTCCATTAGGTGTTTATTGCTGGCAACTTGCTGAACACAAACTCCTGAAGCTTGAGAGCGTCGCCTTTGGTTAGAATCAGATTCCATTTATTCGTTTAACAGACAATTATCAAGCACCTGGAGGTGACAGGTGCTATGCTAAGTCTTAGGGACTTCAAGGTGCATCGGATGGGGTGGGGACCTGTCTTCTGGAGATGCCAGGGTTGGTGTGGAATAGAGGCCAGACCACCGTCACAGGGGTTATAAGAGTTACGGTAGAGGGAAAGATGCATGGTAGGCATATAGATGGGGACACCCAAGCCAGCTGCTTCATGAACATCCGTTCTTTGGGAATCTGAAGCCTTTTATAGCTGTCTGCAATGGATGGGTTCTGCTCTGATAGGAGGTTCCATATGGGTTTATCTCTCTGCCCATAGCCAGTGCGACATTCATGTTAGGAGGTGGGTAGAGATGAGGTCTCCTGGTCTGCTGGGTGTATAACTCCTTCACAGGTTCCGTGAGTTCCTGGTCACACACTCAGGTGAAAGATCATGGGCTCTGTATTGTCTGCGTGGACCTTCTCGCTCTTCTGTGAGCACATCATGCCGGTCTTCTGCGGTGGTCTAAGGGTGGGTTTTCTCCAGGCTGTCTGTTCCTGTCCTTCTCTGTGTGTTTTCATGGTCTCCGTGCTTCCTTCGACCTCTTCTTCTATACTGATGGTAGAGGCTGTGAAGACACAGCCTGCTGAGTCCCTGCTGAGTATGTTTAGGTTTTCAGCCGTGGTTGAGGTGCAGTGTCCCGCAGATGGGGGTTGCGGCCCATCTGATCTCCCTGCCTTTGCACGTGTGCAGATCACTCAGCACCTTCATCTGCCCTTCCTCGGTGGTCTCTCTCGTTAGACTATGCTTTTTGAAGCCGTCCTCTGTCTTAGTCTTTAAAACACAGCATGTGGTTAGTGCTTGGTACATAGTAGATGCTACCTAAATGCTCCTTTAAGTGTGTTAGTTCAGGTCTATATAAGCTAACCTGCATACCAAAAAGTATGCCCGTGTGTGCGTGTGTGTATGAGAGAGGGATTGGGATATTATAGTTTTTGTGATTTACTTAACTGTCTCGTTTTGACAGACTGCAGCATTGTCCCTTGGGATGAAAGGTTAGCAGGAAATCATGGACCAGGCGAACCACTTTCAGGATCTATGAGATGTTTCTCGTCTGCAATTTGCACCCATTTCCAGAGCTGAGAACTCAGCCCTTCCTCCTTGTTCTTCCTTTCAGGAAGTATTATGAGGGAGGCCGAGGACTTCGTGCTCCGGACAGAGAAACGGCGCCGGGCTTAGGGGTTGCCACTTCCGAGAGGATGCTGGGAATCTGCAGAGGGAGACGGAAATTCCTGGCTGCCTCGCTGAGTCTTCTCTGCATCCCTGCTATCACCTGGATTTACCTGTTCGCCGGGAGCTTCGAAGGTAAGAAGGGGAGCCAGAGAGAGAGAGGGAAGGAGGGGGGAGAGACTGCCATAGAATCTTAGGAAAGAACCTCAAAGCCATCCAATCCCAACTTTTCATTTTGTCGAACTCTAGAATATTGATGCCTAGTCACGGAAAAGGACGCACTTAGGGTCGATTGCCCAGGTAGTTGGAGGCAGTCAGCAATGAGAGGAGAAAAATGGAAACACGAGCTAATGTGGTATGATGATGCAGTGGTATGGTGGTGGGCACACAGGTGCCAAATACCTGTTTGGCCACGTCAATCGCTGCGTCAGTGATAGGGCAACCGTCGGGCCCTGGAGAAAGCACTCAGCGGTTCACAGAGCCAGGTGTTTCATTCATTGGTGCATCTATGCATTCATTTACTCACACATGCAACGTTTTGCGGTTGTCGTTGTACATCCACGTTAAACCTGGTTCTGAGAATTCGGAGATAACAGATCTGGACGTTCACAGCACCGGGGAAGAGACAGACAGGTTAAGGAAAGAGGGGCCCGCACTGCGATGTGCGCTGTGACAGAGGAGGGCGGGTGCCACCGAGAGGTCTTTTGGAGCTGTCGGGCCGGTCTGCGGGTGAACAACGATCACTCACACTGACGGCCGAGCACAGAAATGCAACAAAGGATCCGCTCTCCCCAAACAAACAAAAACAAATGATAATCCCTGCCGCTTTCCAGAAATAAGTAGGAGAGACTCGCCATTCTTCCAGCCAGCAATTTCAGACACGGTGCAATGTTTTGTGTGTCGAGGGTGGTTTTCTGGGCTGCAGGAGGGAGGGAGTGGCAGTGTTGAAGACATACTTTCTTTTTTATGTACCCCCACACTTGAATTAAAAAAAAAAAAAAAACAGATCGCAAATGAAAATCTGTCTCAGAGAAGTCACTACTGTGTTTTTAAACATTTCCTTTATGCATAATTTTATTGACAGCTCAAGGCTACCTTTTAATTAGGAGCTCCACTTCGCTTTCAGAGGTTTGCCTTGAGTGAGCGAGACTGAATATAAATGAGGTGGAGCTCTGTGCCCGTGTGCAGGAAGGGCCCGGGGTGCCCAGCCTGGTGCCAGGGCCAGTGCCACGTCCCTGTCACTCTTCCCACCTCTTAGACACATCCACGGAGTAGCCAGAACCTCTGCCTAAGCAGTGAGATAGTGTAAACTATGCCACGGCAGAAGGAGGTTAGTGTTTGGCAGAGGGACCAGAGAGAAGAAGATGAGTTGATGTTGATCCTAGAAGAGATGTGACGAGACATTCTCCCAGAGATGATGGAAGAGCCCTTATAAAAGCAGGCAGAGGTACCTGATGCTAATGTAGGTTTCATATGTGAAAATGGTGACTTTTGGTAGGCTAAGTAGACCGGTAACAATAATAATAATAATAATATAATGATAGTGATGATGATGGTGATAACAATATAAATGACTAGTATTTTGAACATTTCTACATGACAGACATAAGGACTTTACATATATGACTCTTTCTTTGCAACGATCCTGTACAGTTAATGTACCTATTTTACAGATGGGGAGGATGAGGCAGATAAGCTTCAGTGATCTGCCCAAGGCACCAAAGCCAGTCAAAACAGAGCCTGGATTGGACTCCAGTTCCAACTTGAGTGTTTACTATAATGGCATGCTATGGATCGGTGCTTCAGTGAGCTATTAAACTTTGGCAAGGAATTTGCCAGTGTGTCCTGTGATTTTTTTGGTGAGGGAAGTTGCAGAATTTTGATTTGTGTTCATTGGCAGAAAGCCAACTCAAACCGATTTTGGCAAAAGGGGAATTTGGTAGTAATTATAATTAGTAAATTCAAAGATAGGGCAAGCTTCAGTCAGGGTTGGATCCAGGGACTTTGACCCCAACCCTGGGGACCGAATCATAGACTGCATTAAGTAGCAACTAGGTCATGTGGACACATTAACACAGTATTTGAGCTAGAATGACACAGGCAAGAGATTTCTTTTACTGAGCAGTATCAGTGTGCAGTTGGGCTGCTGCCTTTATCTGTGGTCCCTACATGGTGAGAACGATCTAGACATGTCAGCACACTTAGGAAGATCTAGGTGAGTGACAGTGCTCGTTCAGACTTGGGCACATAAAAAAATGGCGGGAAGAATTAGAGCTGTTCACCTTGGAGAAGCAGAGGCTCAGGGTGTACATGATCGGCTTCAGCGAACAAAGGGCTGTCCCTTGAAGGAGAGATTAGGATTGCGCCGATGGCCCCTGAATCTATGGCGGGATGTGGCAGGGAGTCAGGGGTTCAGCTCTTCATAATGAGGTCGCCTGCTCGAAGCCGGAACGAGCTGCCCAGGAGGTGGAGAAATACTTGCCGTCAGAGATTGCAAACGGAAGCCAGTGTCGTGGGAAGGGGTGATTGGGCAAGATGACCTGTCTGACCCTGCCAGACCCAGAGGTCCTGAGACCCTAGAAGAGGCTGAGTGTTTACCAGGAGACAAAGGCTGTGCCTCCACGACGCTCCCCGCCCGTCGCTGCAGACAGCGCATTTCCCAGAGGGCCTGCAGAGACATTCTTTTCTCTGTAATTAAACATCACAACAACGTTCCGATCCATTTATTGACACCCTTGAGTTTTGGGCTTCATGGCAGGTGAAGCCATAAATAAGGGACTGTGTTGCTGCCTATATTCCTGGAAATACTGTTCATACTTTATGTGGGGTTTTCAACCCTGTTTAATTTCAGAGGATCTCCCGAGAGCAGAGCCAGGCCCTCCCTGCAAGGCGCGGACGCTCCCCACGTACGGTTCTGGGGGCAGGTTGCACGCAGCTGCGTGACACAGGGAGCGAGCACTGGAGGGGGTCGCATGTCTCGGGCTGTAAAATCAGCTCAGCCAGAGCAGCTGGGTGATTTGGGCACAGTCGCTCCTCTTGCTGGGCGCGAGTGTCCTCCAGCATGAAATGAAGTTGTGAAAACCAAGCCCACCTGCCAGGGCGCCCACATTCCTCCCACAAGCTTTGGATTCTGAGCATCTGGTGTAAGCGAATTGGAAACGACCAGAATCTTCTCCACTTAAGGGGGACTAAGTAAGAGGGTTTATTGTGACTTGCTCCTGGGTGTGGAACCAGGATGGATGCACACAGGTTATGCGGGGGCAGGTGTCGTTTCCATGTGAGAACGGACGCCTGTCCCAACCATGTGATTGGCAGGCAGCGGGGTGCTCCGTCTGGGAAAGAGGCGAGGTCCCCACTCCTGCAGCCCAATGACCAATCGTGAAGGACGCTAATCAAGGCATGTTTCTGTTGCTGCTTTAACTCCCAAGATCCTAAACCCAACTTCTTACTTCATTTCTTCCCAGCCTGCCATCTCAGCCAGCCCGCCCAGCCGCACGCCCTTTGAGCTACAAACTCGGGAGTGGTCGTTCTCTCCCTTCTCCCTCACTGCCTTCCTGGCTCGTGTGCCACTTCCTGTTGGCTCTGAGCATCCTTGTGGCTGCAGCTGCGGCTGTGGTTTCCCCTCCTTCAGCAGTGCTGATGCCCTGGCTCCACCGTCCCGCTGCTGTGATCAGGACTAAAGGTGGCAGGCTGCTCTCCCACAGGTCTCCTTGTCTGCCTCCCAGAGAGTGGCCCGAGCTCAGTTGCAGCTCCTTGTCGGGGCCCCCCCGGCCATCTCTGAATCCCACCCCTGGTCCCACCTCCCGCCGTGGCATCCGGCATCCTCAGCCCAGCCATGCCGGATCCCTCCATGTCCTCTGCTCTTCCACTTGCTCTTCCTTCTCCCTGGGAGCCTGTGTCGCCCTTTTGTTGTTCAGTCCCTCTTCTTCCCCTGGCCGCTTCGATCCTTCTCCAGCCTCAGCTTAAGCACATCGCTCCAACCCTTAACTAGGTTGGCTTCCTCTGCTGCATGTTCCCCTACCGCCTGTACTTCCCCCAAAGTACTCAGGGCGCTTGGTGTTTCTTGTTTTTGTAATCTCCTGTCTTCGCGATGGATTACGAACATCAGAAGGGAAGGAAGCGGTTCTCGTCTGTCATCCTACCATCTCTAGCACCTACTGCAGCACCAGGGGGAGAGTCGGTCTCCAAGCGTTTGTTGAATGAATGAATGAGCAAATAAATGGGCCCTCCTCTGGCTTTGAGTGCTGATGGCCCTCATCATTCGCTCCTGGATTAACTTTGGGCTCCTTACCATGTCTCTAGGGTCTTTCATAATCTTTTATCCCCAGCCTATCATTTCTGTCTTGACTCAGGGTATAATGCCATGTTGAGCGCCCCTAGAATACTACTTCTCTGCTTCTTAATTTTCACTCTCGGTTTTCTGCCCAGCGTAAAGTACTTTTTTCTACAACCCTCTCTCCCAGCCAACACCTTCCGTACCCATGTTCAGTGTCTGATCCGGTGGGGAAATGTTTGTGACCAGCACTCATCATGTCATACTTTGGTGTCTTTCTAACCAACTGCCTGTGAGTTTCTCAAGACAATGGACTATTTAATTCATCCAGACACTCCCAGCACCCACCTGTAATGTGTCCTTAACCAGTGCTTACTGGGAAGGATTCTGGTATCAGGGAAGTGGGAGCCACTGGCAGGTAAGAAGCATCTGGGATTTTGAGACAGGGGATATGGCTCCGGGAACCTCTTCTGAGACTTGAGACAATGTCATCCGCAGGTGCATTTGAATTTAGATGATACCTATTATTTTCTATCAGACTCACCTTTTCTCACGAGCATGGTAGGCTTTATTTGTGGGATGTGGTTCTTTCTTTTCTGTCCATCAGGGAGATGTGTCCAGTTGTTACAGACTTAGCAGCAGGTGGAGAAAGGGTGCTTTTCAGCCATTCAGAAAATTGTTCTCACACGGTGCCCTCTGACCATTCATAACCAGCTCTGTACAGAGGCTCCCCATTGTCAGGCCAGGGAGGGCGTGGGTGTTGTTTAAAAGCAAATGTCTTCAGAGCATGCAGAGTCCTGAACATTTAAAACTAGTGTCATGAACGGGCATAGGATGATATTTTCTGCACTGATACCTGCCC